TAAATCATTTTGAGCGGGTCTGTAAAAAAGCAGTCGATAGCAGAAGAAATTTTTTATTTAATCACCCTTTTAGAGGTGGCATTATGCTATAGTTATACATCCAATAATGTAGAGGATTACGCAAAACTTTGAACATTAGAAGGAAGTCGAATCCGCGTTTTACCTTTCCCGTGGGCACGTGCTGAACATCTGCACTACCTATGCCGTTGTTCTGCCATCACTTTTGATGTACTGTATCGCAAAAAGAGTGATGGCAGACCAGGAGCCTCGCTAGTGCAGTTGATTAGCACGTGCCCAGGGATAGACTGAGATGCGGGTCCGATTCTCGTCGCAGTTCAAGATTTGCCTTATCACTCAACATCATCGGAGTTATTATTCCTAACTACCATGGAATCTACTTAAGACATTCGAAACTGTGATGTTTTCTGTACGTCTTTTCACTATTTTATGAGACTGTAGCTTCTTTCTTGCTTTTCATCCTTGTTTATTTGTTAATTTTTTTTATCGGAGAAGCATCAAAAGTTGAACACACAAAAGAGGACACAACCATAAGGCTGTTGATAACAATTGGATATTAATCGCCATCTAGTACTGAGAGAGAGCTTGAGCACTTTTATCGTTAACCAGGGAGGTGATGATTGTTTGTGCTCTTATCTCTCATGTTTACCAACTGCTTGAACTTTCCGATTACGAAGAGGCATCTAAGCGTTTCTGTAGCTAAGAAATCATTTTGATCAATTTACTCATCGCAATATTAATTTCGTCCAACGATGATTTTCGAGAATATTCTTCATATTGATGCAAAACAGCAAGACCTATCTGTATGTTCAACTTATCAAATAGATATTTTGCGGACTGAATTTTTTTGCACAAGGAGGACGTCGTTGAATCGAATGTTAGCGGGATCGGGTTGATTCAAGTCGCCGCAAAATTATTTTCTAAAGTATTGTGACCAGCGTCGATGTGTTTGTACTCCTACATATTCTGTGGATTTGATTAACGTTCCAGGCAATGTTAAGCGTAAGGCTATGAGATAGACATGAAGGTACTGATATTAATTCGTCAAATTTCTATGTACCGTATAATCTCTATGAACTCTACCATTAGTGTCCAGTTTCTAGTACTAAGTGCTAGATAATGCGCTAATTTCGTTTTATCGGACGACTTTTACCACAATTTCTATATGTCTGCAATTGGGCTCATCATGTAGTATTTTTGTCCATGTCTTCTATTCTCCACAATCCCTTTTTGTGGTTGGAGAGACAGGCTACGAGAAGTGTGTAAAGAGCTTTTCCACACAGTGGAACCAGATGTTGTTCATACTTCCGGCTTGGCATTAACATAGGATAATTATGGGTTGCATAACTTCGAACAGTCATCATGATGTTTTTTAACCCGTTCGGACAGCAACAGAAGTGGCTGCGTGCAGCAAGAATCACAAAGTGAAGCGCGATTTCGTTATTTCGGAATTTTCTTAGCCGTCTCTGGAAAATTTTCGAGTTTCTGGCCTCATCTTGACACATCATGGTTTCTCTACACGCTCATATGCTTTTGGAACAATATTTCTTATGTGCGAAGAAAAGTGCTAGCTTACCATGCAGTCATATTATTTCTCGCATGTATTTGTTTATTATACGTTATATAAAGGAAAATATAGCGTGGATCTCCGAAATTTGGTACTTCTAATTGTATGGCATAGAAGAATGTTGCAGCGATTAAAAATTAGAAGACAATGACTGGTTGTTACATGTTTTGAGCTGATAGGTCTAGTGGTATACATGCGCCTGTTTCGTCCTATTGGGACTCATCACTACCACCTTCCCTCGGTTCAGCCAATCCCCTGAGGTCAGATGATCCTCTAAAGGAATTGACACCGAGTATAAATCATCCTAAGTCAGGTCACCACAATGTCAGGCAAGTACATTACCTGACTTGGGGTGATTATTTACTAGGCGTCAATACCTTTAGAGCATTATTTGACTTCAGGGGATTGACTGAACTAATGGAGAGTGGCACTGTTGAGTCCCAATAGGACGAAATACACGCCTGTATACCACTAGACCTATCAGCTCAACACAGGTTTGTGATATCGAAGAATTTCTGAACTCCTCGAGGAAAAACTTTGCTCATCAAAGGATGCTTGAGTGTTAAATATCATTTGCTTTTCACTGTTACAGCGCCATAAAAGTTCTTTGAAAAATTGAAGTACAACTGTCGAATTTTCTAGATCCAAGCTATCAGATGATTAGTGAAATGACTGGAAAGGGCGAAAAATACGTTTTTCTGAATATGTGTGCTAATAGGAGAAGTGCCGTATCATGCGCAATGATGAACTTGCGCTCTTCCTACACTTACTCGAGCCACATATTAGGAAAACCTCCACATAGACTTCTATTAGAAATGTTTAGTTCCAGAAGATGTGTTTTACAGTTACGCTCTCGCAAGAGAGGCGAAACAAAAGCACAATACGGGTTGAAAGTTTATTTATTTTTTTACAAGGACGAGGTATGACCGCTGAAAAGTGAAGGATTTCAGGAGAAATGATCTCTCTTTTTATCAGAAATTTTTGTTAAAGGTTCATTCGTAATACTTCATCCTTCATGTGACGATGAGGTACCTCTGACATATAAACTTCACCTCAACTTTTAATGGACATCCTATGACGTCTAGGCGGCGGTGTAACATTTTAGGCGTGAAAGATTTTTTTTTGCTCTCACAGCATTCTAAATAGTCTTTAAAAAAACCATCTGCATTATCAAAATTCTAGAGAATTGAGCTATCCAATAATTAACAAGACTTTAGTGAAGATCCATATCGAAGCTCCAGTCAAGCAAACGAAGAAAGTTGAACGTGAAACATAGTCTTATTTTCGCTGCGACGTAATAAAAAGTCTATATCGCAAAGATTTGAGCTTTCGAATGATTATTAGAAGTGTTGGAGATACTCTTACGCAGCGAGAAAGGCCTCCAAACAATCGTGTACCACAGCTGATAAACGTCGTCTTTAGGGGTTAATTTGTTCCCTTATCATTGAAAAGTACAGCTTTTGCTCAACAAAGCAAGCTCACTAGCATCATCAGCATTTCTTGAACTTTCGAATGACTACAAAAGGGTAGACAAAATAAGAAAACAATGTTCAACAACTGTTGGAAATGAATTCCTTTTTGCAAGGATGAGTTTTCCTCAAGAAAACATGAAGAGGTTTCAACAAGTGCCTGTTCATTTTACTGAAATTACCTCTGAAAAAATTCGTATGTGATATTCCATGCCTCTGCTGGCGATAAAATTCCTCTAACATATAAACCTCACATATAGTTAGTAATAAATCGGCTATAACGTTCAAACGTTGGGGTAATTACATTGGGCGTAAGATCTAATCGTTTTTTCGCACTTAGAGAGCTCTGTAAAGCCTCCCAGAAAACTAGTTAAGTCAGCAGAAATGCCGAGATCTGGACTGTCAAATAACTAGTGAGAGCCTGACGAGAGCTTACGATAGGCCCTACCGAGCAAACAAAGAAGATTGAATGTAAAACATATTTTATTTTGCTACCTTAACCCAAAGAAGTGTATCTCAGGAATCAAGCACACTATCAGAATCGCAAAAATCCAAGCTTTCGAATGACTCCTAAAAGTCTAGTAGAAAAGTTTTGTCCAGTGAGAAAGGCCTTCAGTCATTCGTGTATCGCCACAAGTACACGCTGTCTCGAACGAACTGATATGATCCAGGCAACGTCAAGAAGCTGTTTATACATCGAATCTTCTATGTGACCAATATTGGAGAGGTGATCCATGTTGTGGGTGGCTCTAAGTCCTCCAGAAGGTAACGGCCATGCCAAGGGTAAACCACGATTGTTCCGAAATTTTGACATCTACTTGAAAGGTGAAAAATACTGCCAATCGAAAAATCGATGGCAAGAACTAGCGTCTGCAAAAAAAGAAAAATTCTGATTTTCAACTTATTTTCTCAGAATCTTGGCGGATTGAAATCACTTACGTGAAACTAAGTGAGATAACGTAGGCTAAGTTTAAATGACAAAGATTACCGTTTACGAAAAGTGGGAGATTTTCAAGCCCTTATTTCTCAGCGCCTGAGCAGATTTAGACAGCTTAAATGAAAGTGACCTAGAATACATAGTAACAAATTACCTCAACATCGGTGTAAAAAGTCTCAGATAGAGCTCTGCACTCAACCCATTGTTGTTGTAACTAGGCCCAATGTGATGACAGATCGATCACACTTCATCAGTAAATGCATCTTGCTAGTGCATAGTTATTCAATCATACTCGGCGACAGTGACGAGCTTCGTTTTATTTATTTCACCATCCAACCAGGAATTTTTTCCGTTTCATTTCAGAGGCCATTAGAGCTTTTTTTACAGTTCTTCAGTTTTCAAGTTTCTTTGAATTATGAATCGTCAGTTTTACGTTGCCTCATTGGACTTTATTGTTTGCGTTAAGTTCATAATGATGCTATTACCTTCTGCTTAGAATGGGAGAAATAAGGAACTAAATCCTAATATCGTCTAAAAACCCAGAGCTTATGGTTTTTACCGAAGAGCTTTTATCTCATAGAACGTGAATGCGGTAAGATGCTTCACCAAAAAGCTGATCATGTCCTTGATGTTGTTGAGCAAACCCGGATACGTGGAGATTATAGTTAGAAGAGAATCACCTGTAATTTAGATTTATTATATCGTTATCTCTCTGGAAAAAGACGACGGACTATCGGAACTACGAAGGAGAACTAGAACGCGATGCAAGTTTAGCATTACCACTACGGGTGAATTTTCAGCTCTAGAACTATCTGCTAGTAACAATAGATGGAATGGTCGCACTTATGGTTAGATGGTGATAAAACTAAATTATGATTTTAAAATATACCCCATGATGTAAAGTGGTGTGCAAAAACACTTGCGACAGATGAGATTCGTATCCATATTTCACCCTATCCCGGGGCGCGTGCTAAGCCGTTGTAGCGCAGTAAGGGTGGTATAGAAACGGGCGTCAATGGTGCAACGGTTCAGCACGCTCCCCCAGATAGGGTGAATTATGGGTTCGAATTCCAACTGTCGCATACGTTTTTGCGCATCACTCTACATCATTCGGTATCTTATCAATTCTACTATCGCAAGAGGCGGCGAAATGAAATGTATTTCAAATTACGATTTCTAAAAATGCGTGATTAATCCTAATATAACCACAAAAGCGTTGAGATACGAAGGAAACGTGTAACGTGGTATTTTTGAATCATGAACTGGAACCGGCATCACGCTTTTTAAAAGCATCGCGCGCCCGCACGAGACCACCGAGTCCTTTCCCCTGCATTTCTATCAGTCGTGCTCCAAACTGTTTGATAGCTGTCTACAATCATCCTTCAGTGGAATCGATATATACAGCGGAATCCGGCATTGGACCTTAGATATACCAAACCGTGGTGGAATTATAGATTTACCTTTCCATTTACTGCTTCAGTTCTATTTTTAACGGAAGTTCATGTTGTGAAGTAAAACCACATGATCAATGAGAGACATTAAGAGGCATAATGGCGGTACTAGTCTACGACACAAAAGCACCAGTTTCCTGTTTTGCTTGTATCAGAATTTTTGTCACGCAATGTGAGCCCCTTCCATACTGGCAAAAGAACCTTGTTTCTCAACATAGATCATTTTAAAAAGTCGATGTTCTTATCACTTTAGTCTAGGCACAACGTTGTCTGCTCGCAAGGACTGAAGAAGCACTTACCACCTTGCTGCATAGAATCACCTCAACACGTATATCGAATATCCGAACACCACCGAGACACATTTACTCTACCGTTAGCTCTAAAAGTTACATTCTACAAGCTAGCTGTTGGCCATCAGCCCTTAACATGCTTGGTCGGGTATGCGATTTCGCTTTATAAACTCAATTGAGCTGACAGCCATCCTAATAACTAACATTCGAAATTTCTAGTATTTCTACTGCATTTTTCGAGATGTTGTGATGTTTCATATATACCTTTGAAAATTGAGCGGTGAACAAAAATACGACTTCTGGCGGGAGTCGAACTCGCGTTTCATCCACACGGGGACGCGTGCTGTCAATATACCACCGGGGTACATTTGTTCTCACCACTCAGTTCTCTTAGGTTCAAATGAAACGTTTAATTTTTGACTGTTAATAAATTTTTGAGTTATTTTATCGAATTTTTTCCGAGATGAAGATTTAGTAATAAGATTGTTAAATGTTATTGATGTAAGTTAACTAATGTATGGCTTTTCAACGACACTCTCATGATGATTCACTTCGATTCTAAGGTCGTAATTTGCTCACTCGGCTGTGCTTTCTTTGACTTTACTTTAACCATCTGTAGCTTTACTTGTTTCCATATCATATCTCTCTCACACGTGTTATCATATCTACGTCTTCACAAGCTCGAAAACTGAGTATTGGTGCCTGTATATTCTTAAAAATGGGTAGTGCTCATTTCAGTAAAACTCCAGCGTGAGTTAGAATCAATCTCGGCACCTCGCCAACATGAGTTCGTCATGGAAATCGTCCTCATCAGAACCGCATTCATACGTCAACGACCGTTATCGTGCTGTATATTTGATATTTGTATTGCATGGAATTGGAGTGCTAATGTCATGGAATATGTTTATAACAATTGCTCCGCAGGCAACTTTTATATATCATTTTATATTTTGCAATCTATCATAAATTAATTTTACATTAAACGATTTATGAATTCAATGCTTAAAACTTCGTGCTGGCGATAACAATATTAATAATGTTACTAGTTACACACGGCAATTATGCCTTGTAGTTCCCGATGATATGCACGATATTCTCTAATCTTGACGTCAAATACTCTTTTATTGAAATAACCATATCTTTTTTGGCACTATTTGATCCGTCATCACAATGTTTTTTCACTGTACCGATCTCAGTACTTCTAACATTCAATTCGTTTATTAGTCTTCTTCTTGAATGGTGTAGATTCTTCTTCCCTGCACCTCGAGGATAACCTGGCTGTGACGTCCATAGGGCGTTGTTGTTGACTGCTGGAGAGATTTGGGGGTGGAGCTTGGCTCCACGCGCACCGCGACGGGCATCACAACCACTCGGCCACCACTCGGCCATAATTATACCATTCAGAAAAGATATTCGTTCCTTAACCTCAGTCTCAAGAATACGTTTCTAACAACCGGATTTATTTCTAATATCCAAACCATGCTAGACCCTTTTGAGACAGAGCCATTTCCCTTTTCCTCAAACTTTTAGTGGACATTCGATAGCTTGAATCTCGTCAAATCCAATACTGTTAATAATTTTCTCAAGAGGCTTTGTTAATGCTTTGTAATACATTGGGGAAAAAGTTCGGAAAAAATGCTTGTAATTTTTTCGGGTGTCGGCCATTTTTTGTGCCTCTGGGTTCAACTGAAAGCCCGTCTTCTCCCGCGTTGATTGGTGTATAATTTATCTACTTGTTTCAAAATTAAGTTAACGAGCGAGCGAACTAGGTTGTTAATGATGCAAGAATGGCTGTTGGCTTGACGATCAATTTCTTTTGGACGACCTAAAAGCGGTTGATCCTCCAAACTTTCTTCACCATCGTCTAACTTTTTGAACCACCTTTATACCGTACTTTTGCCAACTGTCTTCGCTCCAAGCCACATTGATGCGTTCACTTGCTACCGTTGCATTTGAATCCAACACCCATTCGCGGATCATCAACAACCTAATTTGCTTGCTTGTTAACTCCATTTTGAAATAAGTAGTAAATTAAATGTGGGAGAATACTGGCTTTCAAATGAGCTCAGAAACCCAAAAAATGGCCAAGACCCTAAAATTTTTCCCCAACCTATTAGTAGCAAGATCAAAAATATTTTTTGCCTTCAGTGCGCAATTTTTGCTCGACTTCAGTTTGAGAATGGCTTTGGGCAAGGTCTTGGCTGATGTTGGATAGTTTGAAAAGCGATGATTCTAAAATTGAGTTTGGTTTTCGCAAAAATTTTCGTACAGCGAATAAAACATTACGTTTCACATCCCAAGATGTAAGCACGAAAAGCATCTGATCATGTAGAGATAATGCTGATATGTCAAAAACCATGTAAATATACGAATATCTGAAACGAAGAAAAATTGCCAAATGCTCAAAGGAGATCACGTGGCTCTTGAATTTCTGTGTGCTTAGCGATTCCAGAATCACCTCGAAAGTGTACGATTATCTTCAACCATTTAAAAGTTGAAAGTCTGTAAGGACTAAACATGTGTATCGGGCTCTACAAGAGCCCTTACCAGACCACATGACAAGTTGGCTCAAATAATAATGGAAGGATCTATTGAAATTTGAGCGTGGTCTTAACAAAACAATCGAAATAGAGGTATAACATTTATAAATTCTTTTCTATTTTAGGAAACCTAATAGGCTTCTAGTATCAGAATCGCAGGAGTGATTTTATTTCATCGTTTTGATTAAAAGCTTTTTCGTTTCATATTGCCGCTACGGAATTATGAGAAACCATAATGAAACGCTAACGACAGGTCACCTACTTTGGGCATAAAACGTGATCTTATTTATGCTCGTACAGCACTCTATGTAAACCTTTTGAGAAACTAATTCAAACGTCAACATTCGAGGTGTGAACTATTGAATAACTACCAGAAGTCCAGTGAAAGCCGTCCACAGACTCTAGCCGAGCAAACAAAGCATGCTGAGTGTGAAATGTATTATTTTCGCTGCGATAACGCAATAAGACGAGCATTTTAAAAACCAAGCACATTATTGAAACCACCGAAATTCATGCTTCCGAACAATTTCCGAAAGTTTGGAGAAGAAATTTTCTTAGAGAGAGAGGCCTCCGGAAACTTGTGTATTCAAATGAATGCACGTCGTTCCGAGAGGGTTAATAGAGGTCTCGGAACAACTGTTGAGTGTAGCTGTGTCAAGATTTCGCCGTAGTAAACAATTCGGCTGTAGAGCCGAGCAGGAGGAAGCGATGCTTGAGAAACCTCCGAAACATCACTATGGTGAAAAATGCAGCGAATACCCAGACAGTGAAATCTGTGATATTTCTTGTCAGACACCCGACAATGTTCTCTACAAGTCAGTAAAATGACCGGAACTCAGTGTTGTGAACACCTGTATAAATGGAGAATTTACTTTTATACTCCAGAGATGCTATCGATCATCAGGAAGAAAAATGAAACGCGTGACAGATGATGTCGACGGGGTATCGTTAAGGTCTCTGTTCTCTCACGTCACTCTCCAGACCCGGCCTTCGGATTCTACTCGATGCAGAGATGAAGAGTCTGACATTTTTCTTATGAAAACATTACGTTGTTCTTGAACAGCTTGGAAACGGGTGACTGCTGAGCTCCTCTAAGGAATGAATCGTAAAGAATAATGTCTTTGATTAGTGATCAAATCCATATTTTGTCTATAGAGTGACTAAGGGGACCCGCTCACGTATTAAATCGGTGTAGTTATTCCCTCAGTCAAGAGTGTTATCAATTCGCGTCCACAATGCGTATGGTATGGTTAGTCCAAATGCAAAGAATCGATATGCTTGTCTGAATTACAAGTAGCTTCTGACTCTTCATGTTCATGTCCCAGTGCTGTTTGATTTCGAAGTTTAGATAACAGCGTTCGTAGGATCTCACCTGTTCCACTAAAATCGTTGCGCAATCACTCAGTTATTTGATGCTATAGCAATCTCCCACTATTATGGAGACCAACCCTATTCAGTGCCTCTACCTTGCTCATATTCTTTTTAGAATGGTGCTGGTAAAATGTACTCAGTCAAATTCTAGAAGTGAATTGGAAAGATTAGCTATTTTCAGTACTATGTGAGTTACTGGTTTACTGTTGATGGTAACGCAACGCAGTACGCGGAAAGTTTCATGAGTGTGCTGGGAGTGACCTCACAAATTCCGAATGTCGGCATTATGTTCATCAACATGGCGATTGTCGTCGCGTAAGAGTTATCATTTTCCAACACCATTCTTTACACGTTTTTCTTCAAAAAGCAGCGTTTTTTTCAGTGGCTCTCTTATGTTGCGCATCGTCATTCCACTGACTATAAATTGTCT